CAACTGGCAGTCTGAGGGAGACTGTGGGCTGTTCCATGTTGAGGTGTGAGTAAAGGCCTTACAGTTTGCTGTTATATTTGGACGGGTGGGTGAGTAGGGGTTCTGCTGTAGACCAGATTTCTTCTCCTTCTTCTTCTGCATGAGTAAGTCAGCAAGTGAGCAGCGGCCTGTTTTAGCCGACCCCCCTCTGCGTCAGACTAGAATCTATCTATGGAGCCTCGCTCATCCTCTGCCACCCCCGTACCCAATCAGCCATTAAAAAAAAAAAAAAAACTAGAATCTATATTTATATCCATATTAGGAGTTTACATTCATTTTAGTTACTGCATGTATACCTGTAAGCCTGACATTTACCCTTACCCTAATTCTAATCAGTATGTTACTAACCCTAACCTTAACCTAAAGTTAATTTGCACCATACCTCTCATTTGACTCTTTAAGGTCCCCATAAGGCCTGTTGGTCCTCAGGTTAGTAAATATATCAAAAAGGGTTCTAAATAGGCAACATAAACAAGTTTATTTATTTAATTTAACCTTTATTTTACCAGGAAAGAATCCATTTAGATTTGGAATCTCTTGGAATCTCAATGACATCCTGGATAATAAGCCAAAAAGACACTGTTCACTTGTGCACGTGTGCCACCCTGTTGGGTTTAGGTACTGTTTTGCTTAAGAAGTGCAACCACACAGAAAAGCAGTAAAATTAGAAGACAACTGTTGGCATCCTCTTGAAAAAAAAACAGGACCATCTGGTGTTGGAAATAAACATTTAACCCAAACGTTACAGCTGGCGTCACTGCAAATTAAACAACAAGTCTCAATTAAGCCAACAGACGTTTAACGAGTTCTTATTTAACCCAAAGAAAGCCAGCAGTCCAGTTTTAGGGTTCCGGTTCTCCACACTGTGACCCGTGCAGAAGACGAGCAACAAAGATCGGCGGCTCACACTGCCAGGAGTGAGTGATGCTCTCAGCGTTCACTGGCCAGCAGCACCTCCTGCAGTATTTATAGCCTCTATTGATCGAGGCACATTTGGCTATGAAGGAAAAAGCGGCGCTTGAGATGCAGCAACAAAACACAGAGTGGGCCAGGCTGTGTGTGTCTGTGGAAATTCACACCATACGTCACACTCAATGTTCCCAGCACACTTATATTTCCTTATTTATGCCTCTCATAATTTACACATTTTAACTGAACACCTCACATCTAAAGTTCCTCTCCAAATAAGCTCCACCAGTCCCTGCATTTAACATTATGAGAACCGATCCATCGAGTTGTTGGCTTGATGTCCTGTGAACACGGAGCAGTTAGGGCTTTCTGCTCAGGCGGCTGACAGATGACTAATCGTCCATGTAAGGAGCCCAGAGATTGACTGGCACCGGGCCCGAGTACGGTTAAAGCCGACGTGACGCAGTCCGCTTCCAGGCAACCAGCAGGTGGTCAATTATCACCATAAAGCTGCAAGTATTTATGGCGCAGGGAAGGAAATGAAACTCCTTCAGGGTGAATGGGGCAAACTCAAGCATTTCCCCGAGACACGTAACCTCCAGTTCGTCGCCGTGGTGAGCAGATTAAACGAGATGTGCGGATTTAACACTGATATTTGCACAGACGCAACTTCTGCCATTGGTTGATGTGGTGGTAATAGCTATGATTATAACAGTGATGCAGCTGCAGTAGGTATGGGTCTGAAGCCAGCAGCTGTGATTGCAGCCAGGAAGGACCTCTAGTCTCCTTTAAGTTTTATCCAATGTCTAACCGAGCTCTAAAGGCTTTCCTGTTTAAATGTTTGGGTCATTCTAGCAAATAAAGAGTCTGGCGATTATCAGCAGGTAAAAATATAAACCACAAGCACCAAAGTATGTCATTTGGACCAACACTGACGAAACAACATTAGGATGTCAAAATATTTCAGATAAAGGTGGATTTTACTGTTAGATCTCTAAATAAAACCCAGTTACCTTTAAAATCAACCCTTCAAACAAAATAAAGCTAAAGTTGAATCCCTCCACTTCGGATAACCAATCTTTTCCTTCAACCAGTCCACTGCTTAAAATCTTATTGACAAAAACAGAAAAAATGTATTGAGTTACAGAGGTCAAAAAGCTGCAGAACATCTAAAAAAAATGTATTTGGCAACATAACTGGGTCCAGTTTGTGTTGCTCTGGGTTTCTTAATTTAACTGGACAGAATTTCAGCAGCTATTCAACTGGTTAATAAACTTCCAGAAAACACTAAGAATGCAACATTTTCACAGACATGCAGTGAATATTTAACCACTAGGCCCGGATATCTGGAGACAGTTAAGCTTTACCTTTAATCATGATCTTCATTAAGGCTGTTATCATGCAGTATGCATATCAGGAAGAACTGCCTGGACTGTGATAAATGTTAGCTAATTATCCAAGTGCCATGCATTCACACAGCGTGTGCCTGTGATATATTTGGTGAAATTTGCTTAATGCAGAATAAAAATGTTTTACAAGCAAAGAGGAAGGAGGGGAAGGGGTCAAGTAATTAGGAAAATGCAACTAAGCCCAGAAAAAGCTTTTCAATAAAACCTTGTTGAGCTGGAAATAATTAACTGGATTTTTTTTTTTTTTCCTAGTGGCTGGATTTACTACTCCATGTTCGCTATTAACCCAAAGCAGGAAAACAACAACACTTTAAACATTGATTTATTACAAGCCATATTACCAATATGATTGCATGTTGGCCTTATGTCAAGCAACCTTGATCTTAATGATCTTTAAAGGCTGACAATTTGTTAAATCCTTGTGAATGTGAAGAGATGCTTTATAAATACCCTCATTCTAGTCATTCAACTCCTCCTTTTTTAATCTACACTCAACCAATATCCTTTGGGTGGTGACATTAAAGACAGTATAAAAACTATCATGAAGGGAGATGATAGCAGCTGGGAGGGAACGTAAAGGTCACATGAAGAGGTGACGTTGTTAAAAAGGTACATTCAAACTTAGACTTTAGTAGGTGATAGTAGGAGCTATAAAACTTTTTTTTTTTTCCAATCTTATTTAAACAAACCCCAATTACCAGCAAGGAGCCAAGGATCCATCCAATATTGATTGAATAGATGATAGACCGATTTATTGCTCAGCAAGCTCTGAAAAGAACTACAAATTCTGCAAAAAGCAAAAGATGAAAACCTTTAAAATGTATCTATTTATTAATCTGTATTGCAGTTTTCTGCAATACCGATACTGCATACAGAGAGACTGCTGTAATAATAAGCAGTTGATATGTTATTGTCATATTCTTGTGGACCCTATGACACCTACAGAACAACTGTAGAAGCCTAAAGGTTAACTCAGGCTAACCGATTCCTACCGCAAACTTAGAGCACGTAGGAGAAGGCCTTTAATTTGGAAAGCAGCCTCACATAGTTTCCTAAACACTTTAATCCTTTATAGTTTGCAGAATGTAACCAAAGTTTTAAAATAAAAAGTTCCAGAATGTTGGAAATGGGCTGGTTTCCTGTATGATCAGCTGTGACTAGAAAAGGCGCAGTGAGCAGTCTAAGCAAGTCGCCCTGACAGTAGATGTTGTTCATAGATGGTGTAATGACTCAAAAGTTTTTTAATCAGAGAAATGTTCCAGATAAATTCCACAGGAGAAAAGAAGCAGGAAGCAATTCTACAACATGTTAAAACACATCTGCACATCTCATTTAGGCTGCAAGAGAGCAGGAGAGAACAAGACTTCCAACAGATAACAGGAAGGCAACCAGAGTACAGGAAAGTCGCTCCGTTTTATCCATTGGTTATTATCAACAAACCAAGTGTTTACAGACTTTTGGACATTGAGGAACAACAAACACACAGGCTTGGTACCAACCTGTTTTAGTAATGCTGGCTTTGCTAACCTCACTATTTGCTAAAATTAGACACTAAATACAGTTTAAAGGTAAAATCTATAATCCCTTTGTTTTACATAACAAACCATAATCCTTCTGTGAAATAAAGAATACATTATGCTCACAGCAGGGAGAACTAAACAACGAATATTAAGAGGAGTTCTTTATCCTGTAAAGGGCTGATTACTTCTGCAACCGCACTCATCAAACATCGCTTAGGTCTAGAAGCTGGTATGCTTTTGCAACGTCGGTCTGGAATTTCTATGGACGCAAAGCAGTTTCCAGCCAAACCGCTAGCAGGAGCCTATTCGAAAACTCATGAACTTCGCAGGATTATCACGAGAAATTCTTTGGCGGCGCCGGCAGGGAGTGTTTATGTCTGAGGCATCGTACAAATGGTTGTACTTCCGAACCTCCTCCATCAACCTTCCGTCATGGTTATCCATTGTTGTTATAACTCCTCAGTTTTAAAAATGGCGCGTTCCGACACCGAATCCAGAGGGACGACCAAACAGACAGCAGGAAAGGCATACCAAGGACCAATCACAGCTGCTTTTTGTCTGCGCACTTTTACTTGAGGTCTGTGTGGGTTTACAACCGTCCGACGTGTGGTCAGGACATTTTTTGGTGTGTTTGACGACGGTTGCAGAGCGGGAGTGGTCGCACACAGAGACAGATTTGACGGTTGCAGAGGCTATGCGTCAGAAGCATAAATTGGCCTTTAGAATTTATAGTTCTAAATAAAAGAGAATTGCCTAAAATCAGTATAAGTGTGTGAAAGCTCCACTGAAATCAATCACGCAAGGCCTATTGCTGTATCTTATGTAGCCCAACTGTGAGCTTGTAAAGTTGGTGTGAAGGTAAAGCTCTTAATCCCTGAGTGAGGAGATCCTCGCTGAGGCAGAAAGAAGGGAAAAGACACAATTCCCCAGAACAAAGAAAAAGCTCTGATATTAAGACGGGTTATTAATTACAGCCCACAAAAACACTGATCTAATTTTCCCCTAAATATTTCTTTAGGGCGTTTCTCTGTTTGTACCATTATAAGCGTTGCTATAAGCGTTTGGCTCTGATGTTAAAAGCTGCCTCAGCCTCATTTTCAGTTTTATACAGAAACAATCATACCTGGCCAACGCTTGGACTTTAGCCCCATGTCTCTCCTCCAGTTCTGCTAGCTTCTTCTTCAACAATTCACTTTCCTGCCTCAGGCCTGCTGAGTGCTCCATCTCGCCGTCTAACAGGCTGCGCAGAGACCTAAAAAAGAAACAAAGCAGATCATACATGTGTTTAGCTATAAGGCAACATGGGATCCTGTCATCAAATTCAGGTAGCAGCTCTCTTTAATTTAGAGGAATACTCCCCAACTAAACGCTGGCATTCTGCTGATGTTATTTTCATAAACAATAAATTAGACAAATGCCATTTTAATTGTTGTACTAAATGAGATGATGAATCACAATTAGCTCGCATACTAAACACTCCATCAACACAAATCTGTCTGCATCGTTTTAATATTCTAGGTGCAAACCATAATTTAGCATGAAAAATGTAATGCAGTTGGACAGATTTTCCATCATTTTGATAAACTGCACAGATGCAATAACACAACTTTCTGAAACTCCTTCCAACATTGAGTTATTGAATTGCTTGGAGCAAATAAAATCAAACCATTTCTGAGAAACTTTCTCGCTCAGAAACTCCTTTTAGCTTTTCTTTTCCTCCTGAGTAAGGCTGTGGGAATGTTTAGAGGAACATACGTGTTTTGTTCCTCCAGCTCATCCTTCCTGTTCATCATGGCTACAATGGCTTGACGGAGCTCCACTGAAACAGACAGAGACAAGAATCAGACATAAGCATGCTGCGTTTACTCTAAGGAAACATTACTTTGCAAACAATAACTCTTTATGGAAGATTTAAAAACTGGCATACTGTATGAACTGGACAAACTAATTGGGCGTAACGAATGCGAAATGCACAAGGTAACCACTTGGACATACATTTTCAGGGGTGATAAAGGCCTCGGATGCAGGACTTTTCCCTGCAAGCCGAGGGAATTCTGACATTTCAAATTGAAAAAGTTCCCTGGATAGGAAGCAAAACATCTTCAGTCGATTCTTTTTTTTTTTTTTTTTACTATTTTGGAATGACTATGACCTGGAATACTGGGAATCTTAAACAGCAATTTTAAAGGGCCATCTTTTAGTCTCCATTCCTGCACTTCTTAACCAGAAAAAAAATGGAAGTCCTTGCTAATTGAAAATAAGCAGAAACAGGTAGGAGCAGGGCTGCACTGTTACAGTCAGAGAAAATGCAAAAATCAATTAATAATGATGCTGTGAAGGTGGGTAGCAGCCCCCATTTACAAAAAAAAATTCAGTGAAAGCATTTTGGTCTTTTAAAGCTTTGGTTCAACCTTAGTACCCATGGCTCGATTCGTGCCTATTGGACACAACTGATGCTTCCCCAGTAGCATAGGAACCTATAGTTATAGTAGTTAATTCAATGATGATGAAACATGAAGCTGTAACTTAGATTAGCTGGTTATGGTGCAAACTGGTGTAGATGGACAATGAGAAGATGATCTGTGGCCAGAGTAGAACATCTATGATCCGACTCACTGACAACCAGCATGGATTCCTTTTATAAAACGGCTTGTATGAGTTTTATGAGCCCTGAAATATTAGTTTAGGACTCCAAAATGATATTTTATTCCAAATAAAATATACAGCAACATGACTCATGGATATAATATAATCATCACTTTTTTTTAAGTGAGTCAAATCATTTCCTCATTAAATGTATGATTATGCACTTTTCTTCAGTAACAACTTCCCACACATCCCTTTCACATAATGCAAAACTTGGAGAAGTCAATAAGGGGGTAAATACTTTCTCACAGAAGTGCAGACCTTCATAGAAATTAGGAAAACAAAGTTGGTAGTGGCAGATATGACAGTAAAATACAGCTGACCTGAGGATCGCTGCTTTCCTTCTACTTTAACTGCATTTATAACCATGTTCTAATCAAAAGCAGCATCAGATCAAACTGGATCTCACAGACTTGCTGACACATTCCTTCCGGCCTTTAATAAAACATTAGTTTTCTGATATTATGATGATATGGAGATTCCTCTTTTCCAGCATGGCCCAGAATGAAATGCTGAGTTTATCAGAAGTTTGGCGTTAAACAACATCATCAGCAGTTTGACTTTAAATTAAACTCCTAACCTGGTGCCAGATAACCTGCTGTGGGACCTCTGAAGATATTACATTCATTTAAGAGGTGTACATGAGTGTGCACATCAAATTTTATATTAGCCTATGCAACAGTTCTCAGAATATAAAGATCTCATCGGTCATTAGTCAGCCCAGTAAACACCTGGTTGTTTGCCTAAAATTTTTGGGATATAGTAATAAAACAAACAAAACTGAGAAATAGAAAAAGTCTTTAATTTTGGGGGGTAAATGTTTGGGATTAACTAAAACAAACACAGTATTCCAGGAAATAACACCATCTGTGAAGCAGGAGGTGGAGATGGTTTGGGAAAAAACACCTCTGTGACCTGCTATCCTTCATCATGCAGTCTACAGTGCATCAGACGGGATTTGAGAGAAATGTGACACCATCTGGATTAATTTAAGCGAGTAGAAGTGAACTCCACAATACAACAAACCAAAACCTAACAGTTAACCCCATGGCCGCAGGAAGCTGGGGTGCTGCAGCACCCCCTGATGGCAAGAGGGAGAGTAAAAAAGTATATAAAAAATACTTTACACAGTTTATACATTTCTTATAAACATTTTGGGAAATAATTTTGTCTTTTTTATTTTACTATTACATGAATTTGTAGTTTAATTTAATTATTTTGGGGCCTAATAAACACAAGTTCATGGAAGTTACGTTGTCGTGGCCACGTCACGCAAGCTAGGGCGTGGTATCCCACTTGGTAGCAGATTGGTAAATTGACCTAATCCAGGGTTTATACAGGAATGAATAACTAAAATTGAATGCTTTTTAAAGCTCTTTTAATGCTTTTAGAAATTATTTTAATAATTTCTAAAAGCATTAGAAGTACCCGTCGACAGGCTGCAGCCATGTCCCGAATTCCTTGTTTTCCAACCACTTCTGTTGAAATGTGCTTTTTTTCCCCCCTATTCTCTAACTTCTCTGGCTTCTTTTCTGAACATACAGCTTTGCGATCAACCGGAAGCAGTTCCACGCAAATATATCGTGATATAATGTCTGACGAAATTGTTTTTGTAAACATTTTTTTTTTATACAGCATTTTAAATGCCACAATAAACACATTTAATGAATTTTAATGCCTTAAGGCTTTAATAAAAAAAAATTATAATTTAATGACTTTTATTGATTTTTAATAACCCGCGGAAATGCTTTACGGTAATCTAATGAAGGAAACGAGGAGGAAATATGGCACAGAAACTCATTTTGGATTCATCTGATTATGAGACCTTTATCTCCATGACCTCAGAGCGTACCTGAACATTTGGACACCTGTAACCAAGCAGGGCACCCTGCCTGTAGCTCATAGTAAGAGCATGGTGCTGCCACACACTTTCATATCTATTTGTGCAGTTTTATGTAACCATGGTATTTTAGAGCGTTATTTTGATCTTGGGTTCTCTGTGTAAAGGAGAACTGTTTAATACAGTATAATAACATAATTGTTTCCTTGTGGTTTTCTTAAAAAGGTTTTGGAGCTAATAGTCAAGTGTGACATAAACATAGTGATTCAGGTTCATGCAAGCTGACCAAATCTATGTTTTATAGTGTTATTGTGAAGTTTAATTACTAGCACATATATTCACCTGAGAACTGATGAAGTTGCATGCACTGAAGTGCATATGACAATAAAGTAGTGAATCTCAATCTATCTAAGGCTACAGGAAGATTCTTCTTGTAGGTGAGGATGTCCTACCGTCGTCCTCAGCTGGAAAACACTCCTTCCTTTATTTAATACCGTATATAAAAAATGTAATTTATTTTTTTATTGTTAACCTTTTCACAGAAATGAATGATTAAAAATCCATATGTGATCTTAATAAAGATCTGAATCCTAATGAGGTATATTTTTCAAAGGACCTCTGTGAAAAAGGACTGAAATCCTCTGCATCTTTTTTTCCTAGTCTGCAGGTCGTCGGCTGCTGCATGATGCTAATCTTCATCCGAATATCAGGGACAGATTTGGGCCGAGCTGTGCGCCGGCGCAGTGACTCATCTCTGCTGTTACAGTACGCCTCGAGGTTCGCATGAAGGTTTCAAAGCTGCTCGCTCTGCTTGTAGAAGTGAAATAACAGCCGTGAGACAAGGAGTTAATCCACCGAGTCCACTGCCTTCCTTCAGAGGATACGGCTCCATCTTCACAAACACAGCAGGGTGTCGTTGAAGACACACATACGTGAAGCTGCTGAGAACCGATTCGAAGGAAAAGGATGAAAGCAGAGACGATGATGGGGGGGTTTATCATCTTCTCTGCCCCTCTGTTGCGCGCCAGGAATAGATGTGACCTTTAACCCGAACATGCGTCGTCAGCGGCGCCACAGACAAGACATTAGGGGCTTCAGTAGAACCAGATGACTCTCTGTCCTCTTATGAAGACGTCAGGGAGTTCATCAGAGAAAAGTGTGTGTCTAAGTCCAGAAAGCATTCATGTGCCTTCACCAGAACACTTCACTGGTCCAATAATAGGTGTATTAAGAGAGAACCAGGCCTTCTAATCAAGCTGCCTGCTGAATCACAGACTCAGTACTCGCCAATCAATGGTCTGCTTGGCCTCACATGCTGCCAGATCCAGTTGGAAATCACTAAAGTGAGAGCTCACGCTGTACACTTTCTCCTCCCTCATGCAGTTCCAGACCACAAAGCTACACAGAAAAAAAAAATCAAACGGCTCGAGTGCGAACGGAAATCAATGTGCCGCCTAATAAAAGGTAGCTAAGAGCATGAACAAGTCTTTGTTCACCGAGGGGCAAAAACTGCTCCCAGGACAACAATCCTGAATTTAACTGATTTGTCTCCATTCTAGCCTCTAAAAATACCACAAGAATGTTGGTGTTTCAGTGGTTTAAAAACAGAACAGAGATGAGATGTAGGAGAACTTCAGTTCAGTACAGATGTTAGTAATGACGCCCTACCAAAGATCTGGTGTAACGGCTTGTTAGAAACGTACCTCTTTAAACCTTTTTGCTCTGCTTTAGACAAATGTTTTTGTACTTTGTTACCATTTCTTGAATGTTCAGAGAACTTGTTCTGTGTCACTTCTTATTGGGGAGTGGCAGTCTAGTGGTTAGGGCATAGAGCTTGGAATCCTGAGGTTCTAAGTTTGAGCCCCACTCCCACAGACTGACACTCTGGGTATCTGAGAAAGACCCTTAACCCCACACTGCCCCGGGCACCGCACAATGGTATCCCACTGCTCCCCAAGGGGATGGGTTAAATGCAGAGGGAAATTTCTCCAATGTGAGATCAATAAAAGTTCAATAAATTATTAAACATCATGAATTTAACAACCAGCCAGAAGCAACCATAAATTAGACCAAACAAAGACGGTAAAATATCATTTTCAAGAAATCCTTCAATTACTATAATAATTTGGTAATTTTTATTTTATTTTATTAAGGGAGATTATTTTCCAAAGGTTTATTTTTCATACTTCATTAAACATAATCTAATCTAGAGGTGACAGGGAACCCTTCATCAAGCACTGCAGGACGTGTCAAACTGTGTTGGAACGACTCTGGGCTCTAAGCTGGACCAATATAAAAGCCTGGGTATGTGACAGTAGCAGTTTGTATCAGAGACCTCAGCAGAGCTAATTTCCCTCACATTGATAGCAGCAATAGAGCAGATAACTACACCAAGCTTAGAGAGAACAGCAGGTGCCTTCTGGGAAACAATAAGATATAATACTTTCAGCAGAATCACAAGTTCAGCAGAAGGTACCGGCGATGTTTTTCAGTCTGATCTGTCCCAGACAGCAAATACCTGGATGGAGGAATGTTAGCAGCTGAAAGTTTAAAGACCAAAAAACTGTTAAGACGAGCTATTATAACAGAAGCTGCAGCAAATTTTCTCTCTATTCATCCTCAGACAATTAAACGTGAATGGCTGCAACATTGGGAGGTTAAAGTTCAAAGAGAGCAGAAGACGTCATGAAAGGTTTCAGATCTGAAGATCTAATGAAACAAAAAGCACGTTCATTTCAGTTGTATCCAAATTACAGTTATAGCCATTTAAAATGTCCCCATTTTCCTTGATTGGTTCTTAGCTGGTCCCCTACAATTCCTTTTTAAACATCAATCTTTGCACTAAAATATTCTGTCATGATTTGTGAACATTAAGATCTAAATCAAAGCGCCTTCTCCTGGTCAGACCCTGTAATTCAGTGAATGGGTGGAGTCAGGGTATAAGAATATACACACCAGGAGGCCAGTGGCTGGGAGTCAGCTGGTGACTGAGAAGGGCCATTTTGAACGGCTGCTAATGTAAACCAGATCCAATTCCAGAGTGAGATCAAGAATTTCAGCTTTGTAATCCATCCTGAAATGTTCCCTTAGTACAGACTCGGATGTGATAGGTTTGAATTCTGATCTTCATCCTTTAATATGGACTATAACGTAAAAAAAAAAAGCCATGAACATTGATGGGAAATGTTGCTCAATCTGCAGGTAAATATAGTCTACCTTTCTACAGTGCTCAGTATCCAGCTGTTAAAACAGTTGCATGCTGGTTTCCTCATGAGCTCATGCTCATTGTGTTCCGGATATTTACTTCTTCCTTCATTGTTTTTTCTGCATTTCCCAGAGGGACTGTGAAGGTGTCTCTGGAGAATCATGTCTGTGGCTTAGAGGAGTAACAGAGCTGCTGATAGGAAGATAGAGAGACCTTTTCCTCAGAATGGAGAATCTGGTTGGAATTTTAACTTCTGTGTTAGTAGAGTTACTGCAAACCCCTTCCTTTAGCTCAGAAACATGATGTTGTTTACTTGTATCAATACTTCAGGGTTCATATAACACTCATATGTTGTTTTCAATCCATCTACAGCAGTAATTTTTATATTTACGCCTCACTCTCAGTGCGCTGCTCTCGATGGGAGCTAATAACCTAGAGAACGGCTCGATGAAGGAGCCTCCAAGCATCGGTACTCTACCGAGCAGCTGACTGGCAGAGACAGAGATTCCAAATGAAAAAGAACAAATAAATCCAGCAGCAACTGTCTGATGCTTTAGGCTGTGATTAGCTGCAGGGAACCGAGCAGATAAAAAAAAAAACAAGCGCTCTGCAAAGAGAAGCAAGAACGGGTCATGAAAAGTGGCAGCTCGTCTACGTCATGAATCTGATGCAAAGTGAAGACATTCATACGATCTCATCTCGTACACATTTCCACTGCAAAGGTTCCTCAAGAGGAAATGTGTGAAGGTACAGTAGATACAATAACTGATCCACAACGTGGATCAACAGTGCCACCTGGTGGATCACATGAATCACTGAAAGTAAAAGAAAAGAAATGAGAATTCTCCTCAGAGCTCACTGTAGGGAGCCGTGTAAAAGCATTTTAACCTTTTGTCCACATTTTGAGACCTTAAAACCACAAACTTTACGTTTTTTTTGTCCACAAGGATATTGGAACACTATTAATTACTGGTTAAAATTTCTAGAAGCACTAGAAAAGGAAAAGGTTGGATAGAAGTTCCTGCCTCAAGTTTAGTTCCTGTGTCTCAGGGTGCTTTTATAGGAGTTAGGACAGAATGGAGCAGGTGATCTACAGACGGAGCAGAGTGGCAGCCAGTGGTGAAAAATAGAGAACTGAGCTGAAAGGAAAAGCGCTCCATTTACTATTCGGCCTGCGTTCCTTCCTTCACCCATTGTCATGAAACCTTGGTCATGACCCAAACAACGGGATCCTAGATAAACATGGCTGAAATGTCAGAGGTAGTTCTTTTTTATTATTATATATATTATTTTATTTTAAGTGTAACTACATATTGTATCCACTACAACTAAAAATGCATAACTTATATCAAAAGAGAGAAATGACCTGCAACAGACCGTTCTGCAGGACATCAAGGCTAAACCTGGAATGGAGGGAGAATGTCTGTCAGATGCCACTGAAACGCCTCGGTCTTCCCCCAGAGAAGCTGGAGGGGTTAACCGCAGAGGCAAGACCGGGGATCTGATTTGACTCTGCTTTCCTTTATTGTAGGTAAGGGGAATGAACGCTGCCAAGGCAGAACAGGGCTGATTACAAAGCATTAAGGGCAGTATGATAAACTGTTCTCTCTTTGCAAAGATAAAATAAAGTGAAGACTGAGTGAATTCCATCAATCTCTGTTTATTTAACTGGGGTGAATAGTTTAATACTTCTTTCCCCCATAACAGAAAGGCAAAGAGATTAAAGTTTGGTAGCCAGTGAAATCTCTGTAGGAAACAACAAAGATATGAGAGAAAATTTTTTACAAAGTGAAACTGAGCCTCTTGGCTGCCATTCAAAGGAAAACATTCTGTTCTTTAGAAACAGACCCTAAAAACACAATCCCCTCTTTTATAATGGAACATCATGCTGTGGGGTAACTTCCTTATGCGGGAAGAAGAAAATTGGTTAAAATTACTGGGAAGATGATAATGAGAAAACATTTTCTAAAACTAAAGTGGATGAAAATATTTTAATGAAATAATTAAGCAAAAAAAGAAAATAAATAATTATGAAAATAACAAAAGAAAGAAAATATTTACATAAAATAAATCCCACAAAAAAAAGCAAAATGCAAAATAAAATAAAAATCACACCACAAGTAGAAGTCAAAATGGAAAAATCTATTTATAAAACATGTCTTATGACTAAAGATATACATTTTAAAATCCAATCTGCTCAGACCGTTTATTCCAGATTAGATCCCCCAACTGAAAAACATCACAGTAAGGTTTCAGCCAAGATGGATCCTCCTGCAGAACACCCACCCTAAACATCTGGACAGAGTGGACGGGTTAGTCCTGAGCAGATTCAGCGCTTTGAATGGCCTATTTAAAGTCCAGACCGGTACCTAGCTGAGAATCTGTAAAGCCTCTAACATGGTGGTGTAACACTGCCTCTCCTGCTGCATAAACCAAACAGGTTTAAAATCAAAAATAACCAGACAAACTAGGCGTCACCAAAAACAGCAGTGGAGTGTTGGACAAAAGAGGCAGGAGAGACTCACCCACTGTCATGGTGTCAGGCAGCCCAGCTGATTGTAGCCCACTGGAGAGCGGACGGGGCTGCGCCGGTGGACTGGAGTCCATGCTGGAGGCAGGAGATCAGAGAATAAGAACAAACTTAACCATCTCATTATTGATGTGGCACAGATGACTTCATCTCATGAGAGAAGAAACAGCAGGCAGAAGTCTGCTGTGGATGAGGGGATAGCTGACCTGAAGGTGAGCTGCGATCTGCCGCTCTCACAGTTCTCCCCCGATTCTGTCGAGTCACACTGAACGGGAAACACGGCCGTGTCCTCCACAGAGCTCACTGAAATAAAATGGAAGCGAAACTGAAAGTGAGGCAGCCTTAAAAAGTACCTAAAATTCATCTGAAGGAACACCAGAGATGGAAGTGGCCACTATCAAACGGCGTCTTCGGGATGGATTTTTAAGGTGGGGGTGAATGTGATAGGAGGGGCGGGTCGGTACCTGGCTGAGGGTGAGCAGGATTGACAGGGATGAGGATGTCGGAGCTGGGCGGGGCAGTAATAGCCTGGACTGGACTCCAGGTGGACACACTGGATAGACTGCCCACCACCAGCCTGGAACCAGACAACATGGCTGTCAGTCAGTCTGAACATCCGGTCCAAACATTTATTCCGTCAAATTTAACTGTTTATTAAAGCAGGCAGCTTAATGATCAACTCACTGATCAGAGGGGATTGTTTCCTCCTGGCTTTGTGTTCGAGGTTTATACATTTCCTCCTCCTCCTCCTCGTTTTCTATATCCTGACTGTCAGGTAGAGGTGGTCCAGCTGGGGGCGCTGTGCGGCAGGGGTGGGGCGACCCCACCCAGTTGGCTATACAGGGTTCTGGGATGCCGTTCTGGGCCGGGGACTCTGACAGGGTCGGCTCTAAGGGGTCTATCCCTTCCTCCACGCTGCTCTGAGTCGGAGGGGCACCACTCGTCCTCGCCTCCTTCGGCTTCTGAGAATCCCACTCTCCATCCTCCTCATCCTCAGCCCCTCCATCCAGGTCGTCATCAAAGGAAATGATGTTGGTGATTTTCTTTTTCCTGCGTCGCTCCTTCCTCAGCCCAGAGTCTGAGCAAAGAGAAGAAACAATGCCATATCAAAAATGTAACTCCATTTTTTATAACTGCAGATATATATGAAAAAAACATCTCTCTCTAAAATGATTTTACCACAAATAAAACTTGTATTATTTTGCAGCCTTTTCTAGCTTTAAAACAAATGGATGAATAAAAACAGGTCTTACTGACGGTTCAAAAAATATTTATGATTGAAAAATCCATTCTAAGCCTATTTAGCTGCAGGTGTTGGACAGCGGGTATTACGCCGTCTCCCCAGGGGCCATAGAAAAGGAATCGGAAAGACAAATTGTGTATTGAAAGGCGTTTCTCCTGCAGTGCCTCAGACATTCATTTCAAACAGATAATAAAAAATAGATTGTCTCTTTTCCGAGCCAGAGAGTTTCCCGGCGCATTAGCGAGTGAATAATGTGAACCGGTCAAGGAGCTGACGCTGAGATTTAAAGTTTCCTTACAGTTCATTCTAATAGAAAGTTTGTAGATTGTTGAGGATCTGTTTCAGAGAGAAACAATGTTTGTGCCAAACAGCTAAATGCAGGAGAGTCCAGGCATCATATCCATCTATTATGGCACCAAGCACATAAAGAGCTTCTACTAATATCTGTAGCAGGACATAACCTCAGGATAGGATGGAACCAGTTCCTTGAGTCGAGTTATGAAATGTCTTCACTCATAATTATTCCACCATCAGGGCTTTATTGACAGAGGGGAAGCAATAACAGCCACCGAGTGACAGTAAGCTGATGGAGCCGGTGGGATGATGCTGATGCTTAAACTAGAAAGAGGTCCTCAGTTTTCTGCACAGTCACCACAGATCTCCAATTTTCATCTAACCTTCACAATAGTTCAGCATCATCGCGCAGAGAGCTTCAAGAAGCACGGCCCAGGAGCTCCATCCATACATGTGCAAAGGATCGGATGCAGTGGAGTAAAGCACGTCGCAAATAGACTCAGGAGCAATGTGTCCTCTGGAAAGACAAATCATGATTCTCCATCCGATAACCTGAAGAATCAGTCTGGGTTTGCAGATAGAAAAGTTTCCAGGAAAGTTTCTGAACACCAGAAAACTCTAAAAAATTTCATGCTTCCAGAGTTTGAAGATGGTTGCTTCCTCTTCCAACGTGACTGAAGCACATGGCATGATCATTAACCTCTTAACGTCCATCATTTTGGGAAATGTTTGCCTATTTTGCATACCCAAATGGAAAAGCATGAAAATTGGGCAAGTAAAACACCAAAGCTGCATCAATTCAATTATGACTCTCAGTTCTTGTTTTTTTATTCTCGAAAATAATAGATCTTTTTTGAACAGCAGTTACAAAGACATGCTTGCTTGTTGTGGCTACTCATGTTTACTTTTTGACATGCTGCTATGTCCATAAAATGATTTTTGGTGGTTGAATTGAGCTTTCCAACGATGTCTAATATGTCTATATTGGTAAACATTTTACCAGTGTAATTTTCATGCATTCTTAGTTATTATTTTTAACCACTTTAAAACGAGTCGCTGGCGACCCAGTGGGTTTTGAAAGAATAAGGACGGACACAAAATTTGGTGGCAAAGGCTGGACTGGCCAACACACAATCCTAAACTAACCTTCATAGATCATTTAGGATGAAATGAAGCACAGACTAAAAGCCTAAGAATGGTGGACAGCCTTAGAAAAGCAGGAGGTGTTCTAGTTAAAAAGGCTGGACAAAAGCAATATTGAACACTTATAAGATGAGAATTGCAGAGCCTTTAAATCGCATCGCTGGAACATCATCTTCTACTGCAGCTTTAGAGGTGCAAAGCAGATATGATGATGCAATGAAACATTCAGAAAAACGACAGAGAAAACCCAAAAGGAAGGTTTAAATGTCATGAACTGTTCTCCATAATGAGCAGTCCTACCAGCAGAGGTGCTTCGAGGCATGACGGGCAGCGGGTCCGAAGCTCCGTCCGTCTTTGGGGTGAAGCCAGGCACAACAGCTGTAGCAGTGCTGATCTCTCGTAGCAGAGTGCTAACCCCCTGGGTGGATTCCTTTAACAGGCTGCCGATGCCCTGGGTGGACTCCTTCAGCAGGTTGGACACAGACGGACCTCCTCGTGTCACTGCGCCGTTCAGGTCACTGTTGTCGATGTTGATGGCAAACAGGATGGAGTTCAACCCTGAGATTGATAATGGAAAGAAACATCACTAAAAAAAAAAAAAAAAACAGGACCCATCATCCAAGTAATCAATGATTACTAAGCTGGAAATAAATTAAATTTAAAAAATAAATAAATCCAACCCTACTTTGTTTTTTTCGCAGGTCCTTGTAAAGGTGCAAGATAAAAAAATATTAGATTCCAAGAAAGATGAGATTTATATAGTACAAAATACAATATAAACATAGGTATTCACTGCGGAACATGGCAAGTCATGGATGTGAGGAAGTAGTTGGCTTTAAAAAGGACAAAGGCTAAATTCAGCAAATGTGACCCAAATCCAATCTTTAAGACACCCTAGCTGACTGTTTTAGGGTTGCAACCAAAGATTATTTTGCAAATCCAATAATCTGTGAATTATTTTTTGTGATTCGTCGATTAATAATCATTAAAGAAAACCTTTTTGCAAAATTAAACCGAGTGAAAGAGTTCAGGAGTTCTGGATAGAGCATATTGACAGAAGAAAAAGATTTTTATCTTTAATGCAAAATATTTACAAAATTTCTTTTACAATCCAGGTGAAATTACTGCGCTAAGTGGGTTGCTCTGTCAGCTAAAGGCATGTTTCACAGTCTCTATACTCCAGTTAACGATGAATCGATTACTAAATTAGTTGACGAATATTTCAATAATATGTTTTGGATTTTTTACTTTTTTTTCCTCCAATGATGCATGACAGTAATATCCATTATTTTTCCAGTTAACAGGTCACTGCTGTGTGAGGTCTACGTGGGTGGCTTTGGTATCCTGATCCATTCAGGCTGCATTTAATCAGTACTATGAACATCAACCCAAAAGAAAAAAGAAAGTCATTGAGCATTAAACCTTTTGTGTGAATGAAGGCTAAGGAAACAAAAGCAAGACTAAGGCTTGGCAAATATCTTTTATTTTCACATCAGTAAATGGTGTTTGGTGTTTTTCATTCAAACAATCGTAGAATGTGACTGGGCCCCTTTAAGGAGCCTGGTGACACAATAAACACACTTTATGAGGGTAATGAATTAATGTCTTCTTTCCATTTTAATTTTGGAATTCAAAAACAGTTTGTTAATTATTAGCAATAACCTATTCTATTGGGAGGCACATGTAGTTGTGGAATATTCAAAGAGCAGTAATTTGAAAAAAAAAAACTATTAGTTATAAGAGTCTATATATATATATATATATAATTTGATTTATTGAAAAGATTATTACCTGCAGCCATAGTGGGGAGCATACTTGCTCTCTCTTCATCAAGAACAAAAGCCCAGTCTTCAAAGTAAGTTCTAGAAAAGACAGAATTATCATATTTAAATCCATCCAGCTGATTCCAGAGCATCACTAAGTAAACTATGCATTCAAAGGTGGATTTAAAGGAAAAAATGTGTTTGCAGGTTATGTGAATGATGTGACTGAGCTGTAGAGTGTGACAGCTGGCCCCTAACCCGAGGCGCGAGCGATCAGCCAGCAGCGTGTGCAGGTAGCGCTCCAGCGAGTGCTCGTTCAGAGCGCAGCGCAGCCAGGCGCGACCCCGGCCGAGCTCCGACGAGATGTGGCGCAGGGAGTAGAAGCGCTGAAGCTCGTGGCGGTTCAGGTGCTCCTTCACATAAAGCCAAAATGTCAGCTCTGGTGGGCGGAAAGGAATAAATGTTATTAATTGGTGCTCTGTGTAACTTCGTAAAACAGATTTTAAAAGCAGCTCCATGCATTAAATACCCCCTGGTCAGCCTTCAATATCTCCTTTTAAAACTTCTCTATGAAACAGGGAGTGAAAGTTAAAGAACAAGAATAGAGGCCTGCTGGCTTGTCTGAGGGATGGCAACTAATGAGAAACAGGACAGATCTGCATAAAATCACATAACGACCTCAGAACTAGGGGTAAAAAGAGATCGCCATTCCAGCAAGTCCTTTACTCTAGAGCAGTAAAACTTCAGATACACCAACAACTACAAGTCAAATATTTCTCCTCCAAACACATCAGTTACTTTCAGCATATAGCAGTCAGGTTATTGTTTCTGTACCCTGTGGAAAAGCAAGATTTTACTTATTTTCAGTAAGGAACAAGAAAATGCAAAACATCTTTAAAATGTGCTCAAAGTTCTTCACCTTGTCAGATATAAAGACTGGAATTACATAAAGGCAGAATTAGTGTCACTGTCTCAATTTTCTTTTATAGCTTATAATCATCTGACCATCTTGGGCTGAAAGTTAAAAGATTTGTACAACTGTTCAATTTATTTATAGAGCCCCACAACACAAATTTAACAGGCATGTCAAATCAGAGACAGATAAACTTTTACAACAGTATCCTAAATTATTTAGACCTCTGCTGACAGAAGAATCTATAAAAAAAATTCTGCATTTGTTGTTTTCTTCCAAAGCACCTGTTAAGACTTTCTCTGTTGTTAAAATGTGTTTGCAATACATCAGGAATACTATATTATCACAATATCTGTGTTTTCAATATTTGTATCTTCAAAGGAGTGTTTGGGGTGCGATAATTGTAGGCATAAATATCCTGGTTGTTTGGAATTTGTGTTTCCATAGTAACCGAATATTCAGCCAATGGGACAGAGCTTTAAGCAAATGATGCCCGAACCAAAAATGCTAAAAAAGTCACAAAGTGATAGGAAAAATGTATGTCCTCTAGATGCCAGAATAAATAAAAGATTTGGAAAAAATAAATATTTTTCAATCATGAGACCCACTGGAAACGCTGGCTCTAGGTCAGTTTTTAATTATTCTGAATCTTTACAACCTCCACTGTTATAAGCAATATCTTATCTGCTGCTACATACTTCAATATGTCCAAGAAGAAAAATGTGAAATTTTCACTGTCATTAGAGTGAAAGATAAGTGCATCATGTTTATTGAATGTAAACAGGGTTGTTTTGGATGTTAGATCAGAAGCGACAGTGTGGACATCTGTATGTTGCTTTCAATGGTATCACGTATTTTAGTGGATAATTTAGTGGGCTCTGGTTTTCCCAAAGCATGCTGATCTGAACCAAGGCGATTTAGACGTGGGTCGCTAGCCGAGTCGTTATAACCCGGATAGACACGCAACAGTGAACTATTCCCACTGCCACTAAAAGCTGATTGTTCCCAGGTTTAAATGGATTTTCCGCCAGTTAGAAAGGGGTATAAGTCGGTCTTTTATCACCTGAAGAACATCTCCAGAATTAAAGGACTAATCTCCAAGCAAGATCCAGAAAAACTCATTCATGCATTTCTCTTTAGTAGAATTGACCACTGCAACAGTCTCTTCATAGGTTTGCCTAAAAAGTCTCATCAGACATCTGCAGCTGATCCAAAACACTGCTGCCTGTGTTCTCACTAGAACTAAGAAAGTAGAGCACATTATCCCGGTTCTGAAGTTCTTCCACTGGCTCCCTGTAGCTCAGAGAATAGACTTTAAACCCCTTCTGTTAGTCTATAAATCACTGAATTTATCAGCACTTCAATACCTAACAGATTCGTTGTCAGTGTATTAATCGTCCAGACCTCTCAAGTCTTCTAGTTCAAGCCTACTCTGCAAACCCAGAACTAGAACCAAACATGGAGAAGCAGCATTAAGTTATCCTGTATATTTGATTTATCTGGAAAAAACTCCAGTAGACTGTAAAAGTGCTGAAAGCCTGAGTCCCTTTGCATTCGTTTAGAGCTGCCTTTGACTGTTCAAGTTAAACTGTTAACTGAGCCTTTATTTGTTTAAGTAGTTTTATTTGTTTACTACCTGCTATAATCATGTTTTTCTCCTTACTTGCTGTCATTCTGCTGTCATTTGTCTTCTATTTTATTTTATTTTTTATTTATGTAAAGCATTGCATTTCCTCTGTACTGAATTGTTCTATATAAATAAACTTGCCTTGTATTCGTTATCTAAACCATGTGGTTTAGAATATTAAGACAACACTTCCATAGGGTATATTTATGTTCTTAATGACAATACCAACCTAAAAATTTCAGATTACTTTATTTTAAGTTGCCATGCAGCATGCATTAGCCTGTAAGACGGTACAGGACTGCTGAGTTCAGACTGCTCTCCAACAGATCAGATAATATGAAGCTGTTTCTAAGACTCAAAGACTAAAAGCAATCAGTGAAGCCCGGAAAACACAGATAATGGCTTCTGGAGTCTTAAAAGCACCATGTTTGTTACGCTAAGTGCAAAAAGGCCTTCGTGTTGGACAAGCTTCAACGTGCAGAAAGCGATACCGCCAAGCTATCCCATCCACCATCTGAAGCTCCTAACCACAACAGAACAAGTGAAACAAGGAAGGAGACAGTTTCTGTACTCCAAACAACTCCTTTCTGAGAACAGAATAGAAATAGCTTTTATTGTTCCTCAGCGGGGGAGTTTAGGTTTCCCACCAGCAGCAAGTCGACACAAAAATAAGCGTGTAAATACACACAGGGGCAAGAAATATATATTAACAGAATCAAGCTGTAGAGACTGCACATTTAGGGAATTTTCTAAAACTACCATAACCTCAATAAAGTGTGCAGCCAATTGTGTTTATTTTTTGGAAATGTTCAATACATGCATAAGCAGTTAGTATAAAAAAAATACTAAGACTGTTTAGAGCAAATAATGAAAAACTGCAGAGATGGACCTGTTTTGGAGTCATTGTTCTAAAGTCTAATAGCTGCTTTGAGGAAAGATCTAGGAGAGCTCTCCTTTGTGGACGTATGGAACAGCATGGTATGGTACTACAGATCTCCTCGGCTCTGCTACAGCTTCAATGTCCAACAGAGAGACGCCGTCCAGTCCCCGGCCGACCGCAGTGTTTTAAGGGAGGCGTCTAAGGACGGAGAATCGAACGGCTTCATCTCGGGTGCAGATAAGCTGCTGTTCCAACTACACCACAATAGATGGCTGCCTCTGTTCCTGCACGTCTCTTAGTCTCTTAGTGCGAAATGTCCTCTTAATTCGCATTATATACATGCCTTAAAGGAATAGTACATCCAAAACATGATTAGCCTTCATTTTCTACTCACCCCCATGCTGAACAACACTCTGGAGTACTTTTTTGATATCTCAAATGCATCTGGAGATCTGGGAGGCTTCTTGCTGTCTGCTGACATTCAAATAATGGAGGTCTATGGCGCCCGAGGCAGAAAGGTCCATAAAAGTCCACAAAAAACGTGTCAATATTCCTCCATACTGCTCGTCCAATGTATTCCAAGTGTCCTGAGTGGGTAGCATCCAGAATTTACTCGAAACGAAGTCATTTAGAATGACGCGTTCACGAGTCTACGGAAACCGCGGCAGACCAAACCAGACGAAAGTGCGCATTCAGCGTCTGCTCTGCCGATAATGCAAGCGTAGAAGAAGAAATGTGCTGTTTACCTGTGCAAAGAAAGAAACAACGAAAGAAAAATGTCTGAGGACTTCAGTGTTGAGGAAGAGCATGAGTTCTTTGCCGAGCTGAATGCGCACTTTCATCTGGTTTGGTCTGCCGCGGTTTCCGTAGAATCGTGAACTCGCAGGCGCGCGCTTTTAGGAAATCCTATACACTACTGTTTATGCTCTAAAAACATTCTAAATGACTTCGTTTCGAGTAAATTCTGGATGCTACCCACTCAGGACACTTGGAATACATTGGACGAGCAGTATGGAGGAATATTGACACGTTTTTTGTGGACTTTTATGGACCTTTCTGCCTCGGGCGCTATGGACGTCCATTATTTGAATGTCAGCAGACAGCAAGAAGCCTCCCAGATCTCCAGATGCATTTGAGATATCAAAAAAGTACTCCAGAGTGTTGTTCAGCATGGGGGTGAGTAGAAAATGAAGGCTAATCATGTTTTGGGTGTACTATTCCTTTAAATAAATTAATTAATCTGCAAACATTATTCATTATTTATAAAGTTATCTATAAATATGCCATTTCTAGATAATCTTGTTGACAATAGATAGTTGATGGTAGTGCTTTGAACAGGAAGCAGGCTTTTACCGGCTTCTGTCTTGCTGCTGAAGCCTGCAGCGTGCTTCAGAGCAGCAGCTGTGAGGGCCAGACCTTTGCTCTTCTTCAGGCCGTGCTGCAGCACAGCTTCAAACTGGGCGCACAGACAGATCACTCTGCAAGAAAACAGACAGGTTCCTGTTACTTTAAAGGAGATTCTAATAGTGTGAATGCATTGTTGCTCCCAAATAAATTTCCCAACAATCTACATCGTGCCGTTTGCGTTTAATCTCTAAAAAAATCCCAACAACATAACTTTCTGGATTTTAGTTTGTTTATTTTATGTATAATTTAGCAGTAAATAAGCCTGAATCTGTTTTAGAAGTCATGTGAAGCAGAATGACACAACAAAATGTTTAGTTGATAAAGAATTCAACCTGTTTTACCTGCTGTCTGAGTCTGTGGCGATCTCTTTTCTTCCTCCAAAGCGGATTTGGCACTGGAAAGATATGAAGGGAATGATAAATGGCTTTTATGAGCAAAAGTTGTCCAGCAAAGAGGAAAGCATTTTAAATACTGCAAGGCTGAGGTCTAATAAGGTAAAACCAGAACAGATCATTTATAGTACTTTGAAGAAGTTATTTGTGATTCATAACTTCCAGTTTTCATTTTTTTCTAACTCTTAAGTGGAACATTATCTACTTCTGCAGAAAAAAGGTTCACGATGCATCCCCAGCAAGGTTAATATCTCTGATATACCCGTACTTTCTTTGCGTCTTTATACCAGATTAAAAGAAAATCCAACCCAAGCCATATCTGGCAGTGTTGCCATGGTGAAAGCAACATTTATTTCCTGCTCTTTATGCTCCTCCTTCTAGACGTCTGCTCAGAATATTTGTTTCCTCTCACAATTCCAAAGAATATTGCCTCAGAAAACATCCCACACATCTACTTCCTTGGATGTAATCATGAGAAAAAGGAACTAAAACCACAAAAACTCCCGTTAAGAGTTAAAAAAGAAAAATCTTAATCGAGCATTAA